TTGTGTGACTCGCTTTATTGCGATATTCGCTTTATTGTGGTCTGGAACCGAACCCGCAATATCTCCTAGGTATGCCTGTATTGCTGCATCTCTTTCAGGATAGATAGGAACCTACACCACTGATGTTGCTATGGGTATGAATGATTCTCGCTTTCTTGCAGTGAAAAGGATGCTGTGTATTTCATACCCCAGGCTACCATTGTGACTTTATTTTGGCAGCTCATCTGTTCTCTTACTTACAGTCTTGTCCCCTGCTGGAGCTCTTGTGGTTCTGCTCCACAGCAGTCATCTTCTGCCCCAGGTGTAGCTTACAGTGGTGCAACAACAACAGACTAGTCGAAAGCAAGTAGAATTACAGGAACGTGATGGGAAATGAAGTGAGGTTCTTTACTGTTTCTTGGGGCATGCATGTGAGATGTGCATTGCAGAATAAGGAGCAGTTTATGAGAGTAAGAGAGAAGAAAAAAGCAGCAATAGGGAAGGGCTACACTCGAGCAGAAGAGTGACACATATCTTGGGCTACCTGTAAGCTTGTGAAAGAAGAATGTAGAATTGCAAAAATCTTAAGGGATTCGAGAGAGAATGAGTGAAGAAGGGATAGCTAAGTGGAGCAGGATTCCAAAATTATTCTCTTGCCAAACTTTATTCTACACCTATTGTGGATGTTACAAAATGAAGTAAGGAAGCTAACAACTATCAGCTATCTGCTTTTTAGTACTTGACTGGTTTCTTGCAAATCATGCAGCTGTGGAAATGAGCAGTTCTGAGTGAGCTGGATAGAGCTTGAAGAACTTTTGTCAGTTCATGAAGCAAAATATCAGGTTCTTACGTTTTAAAATCCTTGAAAGCAAGAACATACAAGTGAAGGGGTTCTAGCAAAAATTAATGTGCTCTTCAAGCTTGTGTGGTGATAGCTGGTAACTACTGCTTCAGATCAAGTTGCAAGCAACTTCATTGTAATCTTTCCAGCAGGGAACTTTCTTTTTAACTCAAGTGAGGTGACATTCTTCAAAGCCTTGGGGTTATGTCTCTTTCAAATGTCAAATCTCGGCATAGCAGTGGATGTTCTTGTGTATCAACATCTGGTCCTTTTTTATGACTCTTGCAGAGCTTCTCACCCTTTTATAATGGCAGTGTATTCCACAGGCTACCTCTGGGTTGTTAAATGTTCATCTTACTTTTAGATCTGACTTTCAAAAGGCTTTGCAAGGCCACCAGCAATGTCAACTCTTTTAGGTTTATCTGGTCAATCTCTGAC